CTTGTGGAACACAAGCCCTTGGAGATAGGCCCTCAGACACCATGAGGGCAATATTAGAACCTACAAAATAAATGCTTTGGAAAATCCCATGCTGAAGGGTCCAGGTAACATTTTCAAGAGCACCAAAGGGACTTAGGAGATGGAATCCCACTGCCTTTCATTAAGACGCTGCCTCCCAAAATGACTACGTCACTTTGAAAACTGGACTTTGTCTCCTGAGTCATTTAGGAGCCCTTGAAAATTTTACCCTCAGCTTGCAAGAGCTGGAGGTCCCACAAACACACATTCAATATCCCTGCAGGTGTGACTCAGCTTCCTGAGAAGATAAACAGCATCCCACATAGTTTAAGGGATCAGAATCTTTTGAACAAATGTTAAAACCAAGATCATTTCTGCACTGTTTTCGAGGATGTGGGAATTCCACAGTCTCCCATTCTGCAGGAGCATAAGGAGGGCTGATTCTGGTTTAGAAGCGTCTAAAGGTAACTTTTATAGGAGGATGAAATTCTCTCCCCGCATCCTCCCCCCTCCCCCCGCCTCCTTTTAAAGAAATAAAGGGAGCGGTTTTATTGTTCTTTCTCATTAATGCCATTAAAGCCACTATTATCTCATCTATGTTATCAGCTTGGCCACGCACCAGCAATACATAACACCTGACAACAGAAAGAAAGGTAACACCTGATACAATAGTTTATTCACAAGAGTAATGGCTTATTCATGAAGCATTATATTAGGTATTAACTTGTCTGCCCATGCTACTTCTCCAGTGAGTGACCATCAGAAGAGCTGATCCTGCATTTAAAAATTTCCCTAGATGGATGTTATTGGCACAAAGATTTTTGCAATGGGAATCAGAGGAATGTTTTTAAAAAACAAAACATGAACACTAAACTAGTTTGCCAGAATTTTAACTCAATATCAGGACAGACCCAAGCATCCCTGGTGTAAAAAACACTGTTGAATTTGGCGCTCTAAATAACTGCAGCAGTAACTTTCAATGTTCACCCTGCCTCTTCTATTATCTGTGCCTAGGCATTTCATAGCCATTTAATACTCAAATAACTTTTTATCTGCATTAAGAAACACATTATAAGACTCAAGTTTCCAGAGGCATTGGCCCTCAGAAATTCTACTGCACTCAGTGGGAGCTGCATACTCCACGTGATAGAGTAGCTCCACCCAAATTAGACCCCCCCCCCCCCCCCCCCACACACACAAAAAAAAACCGGGGGAAAAATTCTGTTGAAGGGGAAAAAAAGGGGAGGGGAGGAGACCAAAGTTGTTGAACAAAAAACAAACAAAAAAAACAGCATTAAAACAGCATGTCCTCTTTAAGAGTTAGTGCAGGGATAGGAAATGGGGAGCAGTTGAGCACTAAGACCCAGGAGAAAGCATTGCTTCCCCTAGGGTTTTGGCCAGCAGCCATTTTGTGCTGGCAGCCTTGAGGAACCAGCTAAGCATGGGGGCTGGAGTTGGGGGGTGTTGGGAGCTGGGAGGAGGCCAGGCGCTGAGTGTTTGTAGGGTTGCCAGATGCCCGGCATTTTCGCCTCCGGGCCGGGGAAAAATTCAGAAAATAACGGACATCTCAGGTGTCCGGTATTCTCTGAAATTTTTTTTTACCGGACAGAAGGCGAAAATACCGGACTGTCCGGGTGAATACCAGACACCTGGTAACCCTACGAAGTTGAAGTGGGGGAAATATTATTAATTGGGCCTCCAGTGCCCTGCACATCCTTGGAATCAGCAGTCTCTGCAGAACACTTGCTGTCGCAGTTTTACAAAGAACATGCTTGGTTGATGAATTCCGGGAGAGAGGCCTAAGCCAAAACACTCAACCTCATCCCCTACCCCACGCCCCCAAAACTTTGGGAAATTCTGATCTAGGATCCCACACACATAGGGTATGTCTACACTAGCCCCCTAGTTTGAAGTAGGGAGGCTAATGCAGGCATTCAAACTTGCAAATGAAGCCCGGGATTTAAATATCCAGGGCTTTATTTGCATGTTCCCGTCCGGTCGCCATTTTGAAATTCCACTAGCCCGAAGTAACTCCCCACGGCTACACGCGGCAGTGAAACGGTAATTCGAACTAAGTCCTTAGTTCAAATTGATTGTTACTCCTCCTGGAATGAGGAGCTCAGTTCATCCCCAACTTTAAAAAAGCCCAAGGATGCCATAGGAGCCTGCATGTTGTTGTTATTAATGCCTTCTCATCACTCAACTATGCACTACACTGCAAATGTCTTTAGAACATAAACGCCTCAGGAGAAAGAGCTGTGCTGTTTGTCCAATACCATGCTCACTGACAGCACTGTATGTACAGAGACAAGGTGGGTGAGGTAGTATCTGTTATTGGACCAACTTCTGTTCTAGTAGGATGAGAAAGGCTAATTGGTTACCCGGTTAACCTGGAAGCATCACCCTAAACGGGTAATGTTTACCGGTTCTGGTTAACTAGGATCGGGGATGAGAGGGTGGGCTGAAGCAGCTTCCGCTTACCCTGGGCAAAGGGCTGCTCCAGCATTGCAGGGGGCCTGCCATGAACAGGACTGCTCTTGTCTGGAACAGCGCTTGTCCATGGTGGACCCAGGTGACATGCAGGCAGGGACTGCTCCAGCTGGGAACAGCTCCAGCCCCAGTGCGGGGATGGGGCAATCCAGCCAGGTTGGAGCAGTCCCCAGCCTGAGATCCCTCTTTAGTCAGTTAACCAGTTAAAAAATAGGCAAACCTAACATTTAACTGGTTAACTAACTAACTAGGATTTCACATCCCTAGGCTATAGATGGTGAGACCTCCCGGGATGTTGGTTTGTTTCTTGCATTTACTCAGGAAGTAGATGTTGCTGTTAAGTTTTGCTTCCTTTTTGTTCCTGGTGTGGCATTTGCATTTCAGACAGCTACCTTCAATATCTTCCATTGTTGTATGCAGGGGTGTTGCTGCCGGAAGTTGCTCCAGTACAATATAGAGCTTCACCCACTTTATCTTTCTAATACCATGGGACCGACACGCTTACAACTACATTGTACAGCACTATCAGTAGTAATGAAAGTCTGCTAGGACCCAAATTAAACTCCTTTTGCCTGTCTGCAAACGTGTAAATATTTGTACAAGTGGAACAACCCTTAGCTCACAATAAATCTAGGTTCTTCAGCACAGCACTGACCTCTACCCTACTGGTACCTGAAGCAGTAGTAGGTTGTTATCTGCAGACCAGCAACTAGGGAGGAAAACTACGTGTGTGGAGTATTAAGTATGTTTTGCAAAGCAGGAAATACATGTTTCAGTGAAATTTTTTTATCCTTTCATTTACCCTAAAAACAACAATAAAACCC